GTGGACCCGTTTGAGGCGGTTTTTGTAGTAGTTGTTACTCTATATAGTGTGGACCCGTTTGAGGAGGTTTTTGTATTAGTTGTTACTATATATAGTCTGGACCCGTTTGAGGAGGTTTTTGTAGCAGTTGTTTCTATATATAGTCTGGACCCATTGGAGGAATGTTTGTAGTAGTTGTTACTATATATATAGTGTGGACCCGTTTGAGGAGGTTTTTGTAGTAGTTGTTACTATATATAGTCTGGACCCATTTGAGGAGGTTTTTGTAGTAGTTGTTACTATATATAGTCTGAACGCGTTTGAGGAGGTTTTTGTGGTAGTTTGTACTGTATATAGTGTAGACCCATTGGAGGAAGATTTGTAGTATGCTTTTCGGGGGGAGGGGGATAAAGTCGGTTAATATTTTATTTAAAGCAATCAGACAGACATGAAAAAGTGTAATATCCCCTCCCTCTGTTGTTTTTGTTTTTAATGGAATTATTATTTGATTTGACGAAAGTAGCAAGCCTCAAAATTAATAACCTAAAAATCAGTGTTATATTTACTTGAAGACTACAACAATGTAACTGAATAATAAAAGATAAAGAAACATCACATTACTTCGGTATTGATGATTGTTTATGTTACAAAAAAGTAAGTCCTCTTATAAAAATTAAAAAGGTTTCTCTAAAATATACAAACATTCACTTTGACACTTGTAAATTTTTTTATAAATAAGGCAGGATTAATTTTAACTTTTCATATTGTTAAATATGATAGAACTCTACTTTGTATTGAAATTTTTATATTAATTTGATTTTAAAGAGAGTCTGTTTTGATATTTTGAGAATGTCAAATTCTGGGGATTTAATTTCCTTATGTACTGTTTAATTAAGATGTGGTTATGATCTGTTAATGAATGTATCACAATTAAATGTTTGTGTACCAGCTTTGCCATCTTTTTTATGTAGCTCATTTTTGACGTTTTCAGTTAGGGGAAATGAAATGGCGAGTTTAGGACGGTATCAAGAAGCAATACAATTATTTACTAAAGCAACGAAACTAGACCCCAGGGATTATAGGTATAGTTTTTTGTTTGATGTTGCTTTTCCTGAAATTAATTTATCAGAGTTTCGAGTAAGAGATCAAATTTCAGTAATCTCTAATAAGAGAAGATAAAAGCCGAGGGAGTATTATGGTACATGCATTTAGGCCTTTGTTGTGCATAACAAATAATTGTAGCTTCCGACAAACTACTTTACTTCTGCTCAAATACATATTCTCGTCTAGTGCTGCCATATGTTTGCAAAACATTTTTTTTGCACGCCAAAACCCTTACACTCCCACACACCCCTTGATTCACATAGTTTAACTGATTTTTTGCATGCAAACTATCGTGTGACAATCTTCCATCAATAGAAATGCCACACACACACCCATGTAACTCCCTCTATGCTTTTCTACCTAACTATCATTTCTCGTTTGACAGTGCTCGTGTTTGGACGGTTAGTTTCAAGTTTGTACCCCCAGTCGGACAGTGGTAAGTCTTCGGAATTACAATGCTAAAATCATGGGTTCGATTCCTCTCAGTGGACACGGCAGATAAGCTGATGTGGCTTTGCTATAAGGAAATACACACTCTTTCCCAAGTTTTTTTTTGTTTTTTATCTTCATATCAGTTTACACTTATCGAGTTTACTATTTATTATCCAATAGTACTAATTTATAACTTATTCTGAGGTGGAATTATTCTATCTTTTTACCAACACAGTTGTGTTACTTATTTTGAATTATTAATTCCAAAGTTCAAGTTACCACTTCGAAGGTTATACCTTCTTCCAGCACATTTACACAGGATTCAGGATTGGGGACCTTGACTATGGATTTATCGGCAATTATTCTTTGAGAGATTGGTTGCTATTTGAACCAACCTTCTTCTCCTGATGTTGCCTATTTTTCTCCTGAAAAAAGTTGAACCTGTTCGGGCTGACAAAGCATTTGACAGCCTTTTTCCTCAACTTTAATTTGCCATGCCTTCTTAAGTTCATACTGTGGGATGAACTAGGCCTAATACAGCTTTTTTTGGATCTGATTTTCCAGATATGTTCTGTTTTATTCCTCTCCCGGATTTCCTGTAATTCTCTCCCGTCCTTGTTACATGATACTCCTTCCTTTTTGTGTTTCCTCCTTCACTTGATGTTAAGGTTAGTACTGAGCATTTTGTATCTTAGTTACGTGAGGGTGCTAGCATGCATTGCTCTCTGGGGCTTCAGATTAGTTTGCTTTCACCTACCATCAGGCTGATTTTCCGTTCCTGAATTCTCAGCACTTGGAAACAATTTTTACCCATTTGGTAGGTGGACCCTGATTATCCTGTTCAGATATTCCATGCCCAATTTTCTCGCCCTCGTCTTACTCTCGCATCCATTCTACAGTATTTGTCCTCCATCCACCTCCTCTCGGAGGTGATCCACTAAGATCCAGTGGTTTTTTTCGAGGGATACATTCGCCCTACTTACATTAACATTGGCATATTTGTTGACGTCGGCTTCTTCGTTTGTTGTGATATTTTGTGGAGAGATGCAGTATTGTCCTAAGTTCATTTGCCACCTACTTATCTTAGGGACTTATGTTTGGCCTTTTTTTTTTCCATAGGACAGTATTTGGAGATCTTCTGACGACTTTGGAATCCAGAGTAGAATCAGTGAGACAACAATCAACTCTTTCCTTGTTGGTTGATCATTTGTTTCACTCTGAGACTTGACATTCCCTACTTCTGTTTTCCATCTTAATCCTTCTCATTCTCTACCTGTTCCTTCCTCCAGGGGATTTTCCTCTGGTCATTTTATTCAATGCAGAATGTCACGCCACCAACAGTATCAATGATTACCCTCTGGGTTCCGGTCTGAGTTTGTTTCTTTATGGTGGAAATTTGGCAAGGATTTCTGGATTCTTCAGATTTCATCCGAGGGACTTGTCATCAACTTCCTCTCCCTCCTCCAATATCCTTCCCTCCCCATTTCCTTTCTGTTGCCAGGATTCTACCACATGTCAATGTCTGTCCAAGGCAGGATAGGAACTTCTTTCAAAATTCCATTGACCCTGTTGTTCACCTGTCTCTGGGTTTTTTTATTCCAGGCTGTTTGGGGTGAGCAAGAAAACTGGAGACTGACGACCTATGATGGATCTGTCCCACCTCAATCACTTCTTGGTGCTACCTCGCTTTAGCATGGAGTCATTTCTCACCCTCAGGTGGGCTTTTTATCTAGGTTTATGGAGGACCAAGCTAGATGTCTTGAATGCTTATCTATATATTCCTATATTTCATCTGTCGAGACACTATCTTTGGTTTGTTCTTCGTGGGGTGGTTTATCAATTTTGCACTCTCCCTTTTGAGCTTGCTTTGCTACCGTACGTCTTTTGTCGAGTGGTCAAGGCTTTTGCCAGACATATGCACGTTTGAGGGTTGCGCTTACACCATTACATGGACGACTGGCTACTGTGCACTCATTCCAAAATGGAATTCACCCAGCAAACTCATTTGCTTCTTTTGAGTCATCTCAATCAGGCCCAACCTAACCTTCTCCTCCTCGACTCCATTCGATGGAGCTGGCAGCTCTCAATGCCCTTACTGCTCCCCCTACTGCTGCTCGCAAGGTCCTATCTCTTTTGTGGATGTGGGGGCACATCCCTTAATTCACCCACATTGTATTCATAATGGAAATTGAAATTATAATATATTGTGGTTATGATCACTGTCCAACCTGTGTTCTCTCCCATTGGGACGTTCTCCTCACCATTTTCCACCCGGATCTGTCACACCTTTTCCACATCTGGGCAAAGCGTATACCTGGTAAAGAAGTGGTGTGATCTCCCACGTGTAATCCTCTTATTAGGGGGTCCCCTCGTTAGTTTTCTTTGGACGCTTTTCCCTCACACCGGTCCCACCCACCTATTCAATGCGGGATTCTTTCCGTCTATGTACATGAGCAGAAGTAAGATACCAGAAGTTATAATTTTCCAATAATGAAAATGTGTTTCCGTCATGTATTGTATTTGGACTTGCTACTTATTGAAAGATGAATGACTTTTTTTTTTTTCTCTTTTCCTTCAGGTTCTTTGGGAATCGATCTTATTGTTTCGACAGATTAGGAGATTATAAAAAGTAAGATATAAATTATGGTAATTCTCATTCTTAAACACAAATATTGGAACTCTTGATGGTAATATTTTGTTGTCTTTGAGGGCTTCATTAATTTATAGATACTTGTATGATCAGATGTATTTAGTCTATTTTTGATCAGAAGTTCTAAATGTTTATTTTTTCTTTATCTGATTTGTGCCAGTGCTTCACAATCCGTATGGACCTAACAAGTTCCTGTGGTTAATGTACTGTACTGTGAATCTGTGGTTTGTGCTCCATTGCCAGCAAAAAAAAAAGAAAAGCCTCCTACACTTTGGGGATGTGGGGAATACGTTATAAAAGTAATAATCAAATTCCAAGGGTTGATGGAGGGTGGGGTTTACTAGCTGCCTTCCATCTAGTTTCTATCACTACAAAATTTGATTAGTGCAGATAGCCCTCGATTAGTATTAAAAGGCTTAAACTCAAGGTATTTGTGTAAATAATGAATTAAAACAAACAATAAACGTTTTATCCAAAACTTTATTCTGAACGTCTGTTTTGCGACTGTCGACGGTCTGAGAATAAAGTTTTGAAACTGTGTACCTAAAAACATTGGTAATTCGAGTGTTTTAATTAACCCTAGAGTAGCTTTTTGTGAAGTTTCGTCAAACAAACGATGCTGCTCCTAGCAACGTACAGTGTTTTTTGTTGTAGAAATAATAATTTTTCAAACAGTTGAGTTTGTTTTAAACAGCACTGAGTATTGTAATGTTAAGTTAGTGATGTTATGGCTTGCATTTAACATAATTTGTATTTCTTCTCTGTGTTTTATATTCAATTTAAAACTTAGCTCAAAGGTTTTAACATTTTTATGACGCCTCTCGTTTACAAAGAGTTAAATATTATTCCAATTCCATGCTCAAATGGCATTTTTTTCACAAAGTTTATTATAGCAGAAGTAAAATGCATGTATTAAATATCACATCCAATTTTCTCAACATTGTAATAAATGTTTATAATTAAATTAGTTGGAGCAACAAAAAAACTTTAACTTTTAAAGTTTAGATTGGTTCTTTTTTTTAACTGTTTTTTTTTTTCCTAGTAAAGAAATTCCTGTAATTTTGCAGGGCGTTAAGCGATGCCGAAGTTGCCATATCATTATCACCTCAGTGGCCAAAAGGTTATTTCAGGAAAGGTCGAGCTTTAAGTGGTTTAAAGGTGATGATCTTTCTTTGTTTAAGTTTAGATTTAGATTACATTTAATTGAGTATTAAAAATATTTTGTTAGTTACTGCACGTAAGTGAGTAAAAAAAAAAATTGCTCTTCCCTATCAAGGTGATTGAACGGTCCCCTGGTGGAGACTTACAGCACTAAAATCTAGGGTTTGATTCACCATGATAGATACAGCAGATAGCCAAATGTGGCTTTGCTCTAAAACAAAAAAAAATATTACTTTGTCCCAAATTGGGTTAGTAGTAAGTTTACAGATTTGTGGTGATAAAATCCAGGGTTCGATTCCCCATGGTGGAGCCAGCAAATAGCCAGATGTGTCTTTGCTCTAAAAAAAAACAAATGCTGTACTTGAACATTGCTTTTAGTACCAAACTGTTCTTAAGCATGTCTTAGTAGAGAAATCTGGTTTATATTTCAAGTTTTTTTGTGTATGCAGCATACATAGTACAACATTAAAAGCAGTCTTGTATCAGAATTGCTGAAGTGAATTTTTAAAAGGTTTTTTTTTTTACTTTGTGGTTCACATAAACATATGAAATGTGTTCTGGTTGTAGATGTTCTCTTTAAGGAAGAATATTTATCTAAAAATACAAACAAACTAAGAAATAGTTAGTCCTAACAAATCAATAACCGTTATCAGTTAGATTTTGATTGTTGCCGAAGAGAGCATAGTTAATGGACATACTTTTATAATCTATTACATTACGAGCCCGGCATGGCCAGGTGGTTTGGGAGCGTCACTTGCAATCTGAGGGTTGTGGGTTCGATTCCCCTGCCCACTAAACATGCTCACCCTTTCAGTTGGTAAAAAGAGTAGCCCAAGAGTTGGCAGTGGGTGGTGATGACTAGCTACCTTCCCTCTAGTCTTTCACTGCTAAATTAGGTATGGCTGGTGCAGATAACCCTCGTGTAGCTTTGCGCAAAATTCAAGACAAACAAACTATTCTATTACTCATATCAGTGCAGGAGTTGTTGAACATGTGCTTTTTAGCCTTTAAATTGAAAAATGTGTAACCTAACCATTTCCTATGTACCAGTGTGTTTCGAGGTCCTTTTTTGCTTCATTTTCATGTAATACTTTTATTCTACATGACACAAGAAGTAGTGTGCTGTTAAAAAAAAATTTAGAATAAAATCGTAATAAACTCTAGCTCCTAAAAAAATTGTTTTTTCGGTTTTGTTTACTTTACCTTTATACAGTTCTATTTGTTTAAGTATTTCTTTAAGTAAGTAAAATAATCTTAACATTTCTTTAGTATAAAGTCAGGTGTTTTTTTTATTATAATGAAACTGATACACTTTTTATCCTCTGCCGTTGATTTTGAAATGTTTTCGGTGATATTTACTTCTGAAATACAACTGTGAGTGGACTGCCTCACGAAACTCTTTTATGCTGGCTATCTTTTCTTATTCTGCTCTATTCCAAGATATAATAATATGGTTAACTTTTTGATAAAAACAACTTCAAACTGACTGGAGGTGATTAAAAAAAGTACAATGTGGAACAGTATAGGCCTCTCTGCAGCTCTACTGTTTTTTGTTGTTTTTTTTTTTTCCTATTTTTTGTGGCTCCCCGAATTAAAATAAAATTGTTCTATCCTGCATTGTTTGTTTGTTGTTGTTGTTGTTCCTGCATATGTTCCATGCTTCTTTATAGCCTACCTGCGTATTATTTTATTCCTAGGACTTGTATGTTAATGACAAAGGGAAGAAAATTCGTGCCAATATCTTGTGGTTGTTGATGTCAGCCTAAAGACATTAAGGTGTGTAATAATATGATATTATAGGGCCATTTTGCCCAGTGAGAAAAAATTGAGGACCTATTTTGTCCTTTTCTTTTTCTTGCTCAATTCACATGTTAATTTACACAAAATTTCCACCCCCACTAAGGAACTACTACCAAACTATGGAATTATAAATGACAGTAAAAACTTCTGCTTTACCCTGGATGACATTTTTTATAATCTTCTTCACACTACTTAAAACATTTTGTTGAATCTATCACAGAAGGATAATATGATGCTGACAATTTTAGGCACCGAATTAATAAAAATATATCAAAAATTGGCCGTCACAAGTTGAGTGAAACGTAGATATTTTTTGATGGGTAATATAACGAGGGAGCTACAAAAAGTATTGAGTGGTTGTATTTCTGTAGAGTCCTTGTGTTTTTATTTTACATAAAATCTTCCTTATTTTTATTTTCTGTATAATTCTCTTTCCTTTCATCAGTATTTTTCCTGCTAGGAGGCCTTATCTCACCACCTAGAGTGTCGCTTACTCAGGAGGCCTTATCTCACCACCTAGAGTGTCGCTTACTCAGGAGGCCTTATCTCACCAACTAGAGTGTCGCTTACATAGGAGGCCTTATCTCACCAACTAGAGTGTCGCTTACATAGGAGGCCTTATCTCACCACCTAGAGTGTCGCTTACAATCGAGTCTGATTGTATTTCTCGTTTTATTTAGTTTTATGTTGATATTATGTTACTATATGTTTCTGTTCAAGTATTTAATGTGTTTTGCTACAAACTAAGGATGGCGTACGTGGGTTGTTTTATACTGCAAGTTGATTATACCCAGTTAACTCTTTCAACCTGGGCTCGGTCCCTGGGACCTACCTCGTAACCATTTGGTGCTTGTTGTAGTTTAAATTAGTAAGCGAATGTTAACGTTTATCAGTAAACGTTACAATGTTTTCATATGCAAAATATCTAATTTTTTTATTAAGTCTTAAGGTTTGTAAAGCAATGTTTCTCTCGTGCTTTTTTTTATTTTCACATCTTGTCTATCTATCATGCAAAGTAATTTTCATTTTAACATGCATCAGAAAATTTTGAAATTTCACATGTGAAATCTTTATAATGTCTGGATAGTTATCAAACATTTCTTAACAAAAAAACTTTATATTTTATCTGTTATTTTCCGTAATTAATCTCTGTACGGGTTCGGTAAATTTGACCGATTTCGCAACCACCATAAAAATTAGGAAATAAACATAAATTATGCCTCTTTCA